TGCCTCCCCGTCCGGATCCCTCTGGCTGTCCGCCTGCAGGAGCTCGTGGCCACTCACAAGTACCGTGACCTTGGCCGGAACAGGGCTTGTCCCCACCCCTCGGCCTGCTCGTCCTGTTCTGTTCACCCCGCACCCCTCCCCACACCAGGGACCTGATTCCACCTCCCTCCCCACCCCTGCCGCTGAGCAGCCACCCTGCCTGCTGTCTCCACAAAGCCTCACGGCTCCAGCTGGGAGTCCTTCTCCCAACCCCACCCTGTTCCCCTCGCCTGCTCCCCACTGCTGCACTGTTACCCCCTCCCGTGGTGCCCCACGTCTGTGTGCCCACCCTGCCCCTCCTCTCACGATGGCCCCCCCAAGAGCACCCAGGGTCCTCTGCCCCTCTCTGCGTCCTCCGAGAAGCCTTCCCAGGCTGCACCTGACTCCGTGCCCACGCCGGGGTTGAGGGCCGTCTCTTGCTTCCTCACACCTTCGGTCACCAACCCCAGGCCAATGGCCGCACCACTGGCACGCGCACTCTCCTGTCTAGAAATCGCCCTTCGAGGCCCGGTCAACGCTTGACTTCTGACCCCAGCTAGGAGGGACCTTGCCAGCTCCATCCCCAGGGTCCCCTGAGCCTTGGTCTCCTGCTGGGCCCTCTGCCAGCTCCTGGGGACACGGGACACTGCCTGCCCCGAAGCCCCCTCTTGTCCAACTGCAGTCATGCCTCAGTTTCCCCCAGCTCCCCTCTCTTCCTCCTCCAGGAAGCCCCCTCCAGGCTGGGCTGAGGGCCTGGGGAAGGGCTGTCAGGGTGCAGGACCCCTTCCCCCAGCCCCCCTGCCATGCTGCCAGCCTTGGGAGGGGGGCATGCCCGCTGAGCACAGGGCCTGGGGGACACTAAGCCCCTTGGCTGGGGGGGAAAACCACTGGTTCCCAGGGCCGCGGCGCCTCCCCACTTCTGCTCAGAACCGCCCCTGGGCAACTTGCTTTACCCTGAAGTGGCAGCCCGCTGGTGGAGGGGGTCCCGGGTGAGGGGTCAGCCGGAGGCCCCACGGGGAGGGGACCGCTGGTCTGCTGGGGCTGGAGGTGGCTCTCCGTCACGGAGCTGCCCTGGGGGCAGTGAGGCGGGAGAAGGGTCCCTTGGGGAGCACACACCAGGAAGGGGCTCAGTTTTCTCAGAGGCCCCTCCCAGGGGCAGGTGGTTCAGCTCGGCCCCCGAGTGCCCTCTGGTCGTGGTCGCGGTGTGCGGTGAAGGGGAGAATGTCACTGAATATGCCTTTGGGCAGGTAGCTCAAGTCTGGACCCATTATATATTCTCCGGGCTTTGGAGGGGACGGCCCCGGGGCTGTGGGAGCTGAGCGCATAGCCACCCTGGGGCGGAGACACATGACCCGGCGACCCAGGAAGCCCAAACCTGGGAATGAACTCAGGCAGGCAGCACCCGCGTGATGGTGTGGGGGACATGCTCCCCCAAGGGTCTTCATGGTGCTGGGCAGGGGCAAACCCAGGTTTCTCCAAAGAGGAGCTCCTGGAGCCTGGCCTGACCGGCAGCCAGAGGGAGGCCACCTAGGATGGTGCAGGTCCTGCCTTCTGGGGTGGCTGCCACGAGCCAGGGTGGCACCACAGTCCCAGGGCCTGTCTGCGTCAGCGTCCAGCCTGGGGTCCCTCTAGGCCTCAGAGCACCAAACTCACGGCCTCGTGCATGGGGAAGGCCCCAACTGCCCACGGTGTCAGTTGGAGGACGGAATTCTCAGGCCTGCTGGCTGTTGGGGGATGGCCAGCTGGAACCCGAACCTTGGTTCCTGGACTCACTTCCTCAGGAGATGAGTCCCCAGTGAGCCCTGGGGACAGGGACTCTTGACTCACAGCGGTGTCTCTCAGAGGTACCCACCCCCACCCAAGCCCCAGCCGAGCAGTGGTAAACCCCCACTGTCCTTTCTGGGTGCTCCCCAGCTCAGCAGGGCAACCCCCTCCGCCTCCCGGCCCACCTTGCTCACAACCACGGGCAATATTGACCCCGACGTCACGGGGCCTCTGCTCACCTCCAGATGACACGGAGGGAAGCCAGGCTGCTTGGTCTCCCTGGGCCAGCAGGGCAGGGCGGGGAGGCCCCTCGGGGTCCCCTCCGCCTGGCTTTGCTCCGGACCCTATGAACTCATATGTGCTCGACTGCAGGACACCCGGGTTAGCCCAGAGCACCCTGTCCTACCCCCGGGAGCCTCCCCGCCGACACTGGCCGCTCAGAGGCCTGACCCCCCCCGTCTTCTCCTCAGGCTCCCGGACCTCGCGCCTGGGCAGCGTCCCCCGCCGATGCAGCCCCCCCGCTCCGGAGCCGGCCCTGCCCCCCCAGGGCCCCAGGTAGTGTCCACTGACCTGTCTTGTCCTTACCTTTGTTTTCAATGGACATTCCATCTCCGGTAAGGGTCGGCCGGGCTCGCCGCAGACAAAGCCCCCCGAACCTTGCACCCGGGACCACCTCTGACTTTACATGAGAATCCTGGGACCTTGTTACTGCATGTGGGATCCTAAGCAGTCTCCCCCACCATGAAATAGTCCTTGCGTAGATTAAATTCCCAGAAGTGAGGTTCTCAGTCAACTAGTGTGCACTCTGGGGGTCTTGGCAGAGACCCCCCCCCCCTTGGGGGCCGTTGTCTTTGATAACATTTAAGCAATGTTTACGGGTGAACAACATCTGTCATACAAGATTTCTTGGATGAGCCTGACGCTCATTTCCGAGCTGACTTGCAGCATACCTGAGCGGCTCTCCAGGCAGCCGACCCACGTGGGGCCGCCGCAGGGGCGGACGGGGGCCAGAGCAGAGGGCCCGTAGCTTGAGGGACCAGGGCGTGGAGGGCTGTGCGGGCAGCAGGGAGCCAGGAGGTCACTGCATCTGGTAGTGGTGGCGGGGGGGGGGGGAGGAGGGCCCAGCCCGTGCTCTCCCCTCCCCCAGCTGCCTCCCCAGCTGACCTCTGCCCTCTCTGGCCAAAGTATTCTCTTTGGGACTTGGTTACCTCTTTGGGTCTACTGTCCCCTTCTCTGCCTTTGGGGTCTCACTTCACCTCCTCCAGGAAGCCCCCCAGGCTTGCTCCCACCATCACTGCCAGCAGCCTGGCCCCATCCCAGGCTTGGAATGGATGACCGTGGCCTTTGTCTTAATCATGAAAAGAGTTTTGGGGACCGATCTGCAGAAGGGGGTTCAACCTCCAGGGAAAGCTGTCTTCTCTAAACACATCAACATCCTCCCATCCAGAGCCCACAGCCAGAGCGCAGGTCATGAGAGTCTTTGTGGAGGCCAGCACCTGTGCATGGGGTGTTGGGGGTGCCCTCAGGGGTCTGTCACCATGAGCCACGCCAGAGCAAGAGTGGGGCCCGCTGGGGTCGGGAAGGAGTCGCGGGGGCCCCCATGCGGGAACGGACATCTCAGCCTGGGACGCGGAAGGAAGGAGCTGACATGGCCCCTGAAGAGACAGAGTGCTGGAGGGCCTGGGCGAGAAGGGTGGGTCCGATGTTGGGATTTGGGGGACGCCTGGCGGTAGGTGGCCCTGGGACGGAGGGCAGGGCTGGGCTGTGTTTGTCAGTTGTCACATCCTCCAGGCCCGGGGCAGAGGGACCCCGGCCATCTGTCGAGTGAGGGCAGAAAGGTGGCGAGAGGGAAGGAGCAGGGAGACACAGGCCCGGCTCATGAGCACAGACTGGTGCCCACCGTGCCAGCCGGTGTAAGAGGCTCACGGCCCAGGTCCCCACTGCCTGGGGAGAGGCTGGGCGCTTTCCTTGGCTCACCGTCGGGTGCGTCCTCTGGCGGGCACATACTCATGGGTCCCTGTACACAGCGGGGCCTTGGGGTGCAGAGGGGAGGGAACCAGACCGGGGGCGGTGAGGAAGCGCAGGACAGCGCCCCGGAGGCCCCGCTCTCCGGGAGGACTGGAACAGAGGCCGGGAAGCGAGGCCAGGGCTCAGGAGACGGGTGAGGGTCCTTCGGGGGCAGTGGCGCGTGAGTGGGACAGTTTTGGGGAGCCCCTGGGAGTTAAGGTGGGGGCAGTGGGAGGGGTCCAAGGGATGCCAGAGCCCTAGGGTGGCTGGTGCTCTCAAAAGCGCCCTCTCCCGGAGGAAGAGCCCCCGGGTCAGGGCCCTGAGGGAGGTACACCCGCGCGCGTCTGCAGCGCTACCGGGGTCCAGCCCAGAGAGGGATTTGTGGGGCCCCCGGGCGGCCCCTGAGCCCAGCCGGCAGCATCAGGGTCACCTGGAGCCTTCTTAGAAATGCAGAATCTGGCCTGTCCCAGGCCCTCGGCGCCAGAAGGTGCCCCAGAACCAGGCCCCTCGCCATCTCCACATGTTGGGAGCCTGGTGCAAGGGTGGGTGGGCATAGACAGTCCGGGGGGGCGGTGAGGGCAGAGGAGGGCCCAGGCTGCCATGGGGCCGCCACCCAGGCCCAGGCCGCGGCGGGGAAGCTCCTTTGGCGCCTCTGCCACGTTCTTGAGCTGTGGTTGTATGGATGGTGGGAAGCCAGTGCGGTCACTGCCGGGTGGACTCAGGATACGGAATCCCAGAGCCTCTAGGGAGGGGAGCCTGGGGCCTGGTAAAGACAGGAGGGCCTTGCATGTCAGCTCCAGGTAGGAACCTCATCCTTCCCTCCTTCCCTAGGTTCCCTAGAGCTCCTGGAGCTGCATGACCTAGGGGCCCCAGGTACGGTTGGGGTGACTGACTGAGGTGGGGGGACACCTGGAAGGTTGGGGTGACTGAGCTGGGGGCCCCCGGTAGGTTTGGGGTGACTGACTGAGTTGGGGGTCCCTGGGAGGGTTGGGGTGATTGACGGAGGTCCAGGGTCTGAAGGGTTGGGGTTACTGAGGTCAGGGGCCCTGGTGGGGTTGGGGTGACTGATGAAGGTGGGGGACCCTGGTGAGGCTGGGGTGACTGACCAAGGCGGGGGGCCCCACTGTGTCTGGCCCCTCTTGAGCAGGTCTGTCTGGTCCTGCCCTCTGCCCCCCATCCACGACCGGTGCTCCCAGGAGGTGCGGTTGTCCATGGCGACTGCACCCAGTGATGACTCCCCCGGTCCCCAGGGGACTTCCAACCTCCTGTCGCCCACAGAGGAGGAGGAGCTGGATGTCGGTGAGCAGGGCAGGCAGGGGCCTGTGGGCAGCGGGGCTCCAGGGCCTTCAAGGGCCCGCGGGGCTATTTCTGGTCGGCTCTCTGTCCCCCCAGGCTCGGAGCGCACCCCTTCCCCGGGCCCTTGTTTCAGGTCCCCCGTGCCCAATTTTGAGTGTCTGCTCAGTGCAGGGTGTGGGCGCAGTGCCCAGGGTGCACAGAGGGTGCCGGGGTCTCACGTCTTCTGGGGGCGGGGACAGCTCCATGTGCACCTGATAGAAACTTCTGGAAAGGCGTGGCCTCTGGAGCCTTACCAAGCAGGGGACGCTTGCTTTGGAGCCCTGCTCTCCCCACCCGCCTGTGGCGCCGTGAAGGGCCACAGCCAGCCCTGCACCCAAGAAGATCAGGGTCACAGCCCTGCGGGAGCAGATGCAGGAGGCACCTGGGGTCCCCCCTCTGTGCCGCCCCGCCTGCGGCCCCAGCAGGGAGTGGCGGGTGGTCTCCCGCCTGCTCTGGGGGCACAGACCCCTCGAGAGTGTTGGGTTTGTTTGTGGTTCCAGTGCCTGGCAAGTAGTAGATTCTCAACAAGCTCCGACTGAATGAATGAAGGAGCGAAGGATGGATGGATGGGTCCAGCGGGCAGCGGGTCAGCGGGTCAGCGGCACCAGTGAAGCTGCCTAACAAGCAGCCTCAAGCCTGGGCCTGGCTGTGGGTGTCAGCTGGGGTGGGGGGTCCCCGAGCGGGACACGCTCGGACACACCAGCAGGCCCGAGGCCGTGGGGCGTGCCGTGGCCGGGAGGGCCGAGCGCACGGGAGACGCTGGCTCCCGACCTGCGGGAGTGACGGGCGGGGCAGGGCCCACACTGCCCCTGACCCCAGACCTGACTTATTTTTTTTTATTCCCAGCAGGGTGCTGGCTTCACGCCCCCCTCTTTTTCCTGATCAAAGAAGTATCGATTATCTTTGTCAGGTGCCGGACAGTTTGGAAACCTGGACTCACGGTTATCTTAAAGCTCCCAGGCTGTATTTTGTGTCTGCGAGGAAGCCTGCTGGTGGGAGAACGGCCTCTCCCCTCGCCCCCGCGCCTCTGCGCCTCGCTGACACAGAAATCCTGTTTCTGATGGTTTTAACTTGCCTTTCTTTTATCAGCGGTGGGTGTGCGTCTTCTCATTTCTCTGCTGGCCACCGGGGTCTCTCTCCTCTCCACCCCTCTCCCGACCTAGGAGAGTTTCTTCCGTGGTACCACTGACCTTGTGTTGTACACGCAGCAGGTATCTCTTCTGTGGCCCCTGCGTGGCAGCTGTGCCGAGCGCGTGGGCCCCAGGTCCGTGGCGCTAACCCTAACACTCGTCTCCCTTTGTTTGTCTTTGTGTCACGTTGAGAGAGCCCTTCTCTACTCTGGGATTTCTCGAGTTACAAAGCCCAGTCTGCTCAGTGCGTTTACAGTCCTTTGGAAATTCCAATATCGTAACTGCCTGCTATTTATTTTGGTGTGAGAAGTAGAGTAGGGACCTAGGTTAATTTTTTAGTACAAATGATGAGCTTTGGGACCCCACTCTCTTGGGCTGGAGTTCTGTGCTCCTGTGGTGAGGTGTGTTCCCTTTGACCCGCGCCTCCGGGCTGTGTCCCAGCGCCCAGCAAGGCACCTGCCCTCAGCGCTCCGTGCTCTCCGTCTCCTGCTGCTTTCTCCCAGCTTTCCCTGCAGACGCAGACGCACTGCAAACGAAGTCGCTTGGGCCCCGTGACTTAGGGGCCCAGCCAGAGCCAGACCTGGGAGGCCTAGGCTTCCCTTTGGCACCCCCAGCACAGGGCTGCTTCTCTGTGGTCTGCAGCTCACCCAGACGGGGCAATCTTGGAGGAGCCCCTGAATGACAGACTGCTCTGGGAGGAAGCACTCCTCGGCAAAATCAGGACCATGTCAGTCTTGCAGAAAAACGTGGTGTTGGACGCCATCCACCACTGCATCAAGGAGCACAGCCAGGTGGGACTCTGGGAGACCTGCTCGCCCCTGCAGGACATCCCCCTCCGCCACTTCAGGGCGCACTGGGGCCCACATTGCCCCTTGGCTTCCACTGGCCTCTGCGTCGCTGAAGCCCCTGACCTCCTGGGATGTGTGGCAGAAGGTGCCAGAAGGCAGGAAGGAGTAGGGGCAAAGGAGAGGGGCAGGCTGGACGGAGACCTTACCAGCTGGTGCTCAGTGCCTGGCAGCCGAGGGTGGGCCTGGGAGCCACATGGAGCCAGACACAGCCTGCCTCCTCCTCTAGGCCTAGGGGGCGGTAGAGGACAGGTGGTGTCTGGTCCTCCTCTGTGCCTGAGGACCTCCCAACCTGTGGGGTACAGGAGGCTTCCCAGCTCAGACCTCCTGCAATTGTGGGGGGCCAGGCCCTGGCCTCTGTCCAGTGGTGGCTGACGTCCCGGGTCGGGTGGGGCTCTCCCGGCCTCTGTCCTCCACATTCCTGCTCCAGATTCTCTGGGGGCTCAGAGCTGACAGACAGGACTGAGTAGGGGGATAAACAGCAAGACCGATGCCCACAGAGGGAGACAGCTCCAAGCACACACAGACCTCAGCTTCGGAAGCTGGAAATCCGGCTGATGGCCAAGCCATGCTTGGGGACCCTGGCTCAGAGGTGGGGTGGAGGGGAAATCCAGCCAGTGGGGAAGAGTCTGTGCAAAGGCCCTGAGGCCAGCAAGATGGTGGTAGGAGAGAGCTGGGGAGCACTCTCAGGAGATGCCAGTGGGGCCAGGCCATCAGGGGCTAACCAGCCTCTGTCCTACAGGTAGGGGGTTGCCAGGGATCAAGCAGAAGTAGGCATGGCCAGAATCACACTTTGAGTGAGCCCCCTGGCGGGTTGCTGGAAGGTAGCACCCCCAAATCTCTCCTGACCTTTTGGGAGTAGCTTGTCTTCTCTGCTCACCCATAGGGGACCACCATCCTTGGGGGTTCCTGAGGGATTTGGTGTCCAGCTCCCCTGGGCGGGTCGGGTGGGGCCCAAGCCCTGTGTTCTGCCTGCAGCTCATCTGGAAGGAGGTAGCTAACACTGGCATCCAGGAGCTCCTGGCACCCTTGAACCTGGAACTCAAGCAGCCTTTGGAGAAGGTCAGTGCCTGGGCAGGGCTGCCCAGGGTGCCTATGTGTGCTCCGAGACCCCCACGAGGCTCTAAGTGTGGCAGAGCATGTGGCTGCTGAGGCCCCTCCCCACCCCCCAAGTGACTGTCATGGTCCGAAGCTCTGGGTACATGGACAGTGCCCCAGGCCCAGCAAGGAAGCACTGCAAGGTTGGGGGGGCTGCGGGGACCCCCCCCCGCGCCTCTTCCAGTCTCACACAGATGGTGGGCACAGCAGCCTGGGGCGGGGGCCGTGCAGTTTGGGAGGGGGCTCAGGATAGGCTCCCCAGCTTCCTTCATCCCTCACCCAGAGGGGGTGGCTGCCCCAGTCCCTGGCCCGCGGGGCCCAACACCTGCTCCAACCCGCCTCCTCCCAGACCTTCCTCTTCCACATTTACGGGCTGATCCTCAGAGAGAGTGCCAACAAGGAGCTGGTGAGAAGGCACCTGGCCGACCTCCTGGAGCTGTCCCACCAGTCAGCCAACCAGCGGGAGGTGGGTCCATGGCCCCCAGCCCCCCGGGCGCCCCCAGCCCCCAGCCCCCAGCCCCCAGCGCTGCGCTGGGAAACATGGGGCCGCCCGGTTGCAGGTGCAGCCCACAGCCGTGTCCCGGCTCCATCCTGCCCTGACGCCCTTCAAGGCCTGCCTTTGCAGGGCCCTCGGGAGGAGCGGGCAGGAGGCAGCAAGCACACCCGGCACGGCCGCAGGGGGACCCACTCTCGGGGTCCTCCGGCCCGCAGGGCATCGCTACTGCCATTGGTATTGTGTCTTCCTCCCATCTGCCGGCCGTCTGGGCAGTGCTGGAGCACCTGGGCCGCACCAGGCTCCTGCGGACCGCCTTCATGTCCCCAGACTGCCAGGTAGACGGGGCAGCCTGCGGGCGGGAGGGGCCGGGGGCCTGGAGATGTCATGCGGGCGCTCGAGCCTCATCTGCTCGTCGGAAACGTGACTGCTGCCCTGCCCACCTCCCTGAGGGGCTGATGCATGGCTTTCAGACTGTCTTGGTTCTTGCTGTGGCCTGGCACTTGTGAGCCTGGTCCCTGGGGCCCCACACATACGATCCAGAGCCTCTGTGGGGGTCTGACGGTCGGGAACTGCGGGCTGGCCCCGACCTCAGCTTCCTCACCTGGCACCTGCCCTGTGCGTCTACGTTGAGCACCTCTACTTTGCTATTCCTCGGCCCCTCGCTGGGAAGAGCAGATGCGCAGGAGACACTCAGGGGCCCTGGCCCGCCTGGAGAAGGAGCAACTCCCGCTAGAGGGCAGGGGAGCCAAGGGCCTTCTGGGGGAGGGGCCGGCACCAGTGCCCAGGGCTAACAGGCTCCATTCTGCAGCAGCTGGACCCCGACAGGCACTGGAGGTGGGTCAGCTGCACCTCCCTGCTCTGCTACGGGCGGATGGCGCTGCACGCCAGGGAGCAGATCCTGCCCTGGGTGGACAACATCATCTCCAGGATGGTCTACTACTTCTCCTGCAGCTGCTACGTGAGCCCTGCCCCAGCTCGGGCAGCAGGGGTGCGGGGTGTCTGCATGCACGCACGGGGGCCGCCTAGCCTCTGACGGGGCGGGCACTCGGGCTGTGTGGTGGCGGGCCAGGGACCGCCCGCTGACCCTCCCCTGACTCTGCACGGACAGGACAATATCCTGAAAACCAGCTTCCTCTCGGCCGTCATCATGCTTATGAAAGCTCTCAAGCAAGAGAACAGCACCCAGAGCTACAAATTCTCTCAGATACCAGAGCTTATCCAGTGCCTCCTGGTGAGTGACTCCCACGGGGACCTGCCAGCCGTTGATCACAGGGGCGGCCAGCAGGACACGGAGCATGCGTGAACCAGGCCGGGAGCTATCGCCAAGCACCTCTTGCTCTGACCCCCCCCAGGGCATCCTCCAGAAGGAGCCCAACTTCCTGGCCACCCTCTTCCGGCAGAAGATCATACTGGTCATTGTGGGACTGAGGTAACTCTCCTTTGGGGTCCAGGAACGAAGACAGGTCAAGTCCTTTGTGTATTCGGTGGGAGTCCATGTGTGAGGAGACAGGTGCACGGTGGGAGGGACTGGCCCTGCTGAAGCCAAGCCACCTACCATCAGGGACCGATTTGCTTTGTTTCCTATCCAAGACAGGTTGTTAACCTTGACACAGACTGATCCCTGACCTGGTCACACACCAGATCCTGGCCTCAGTCACACGCTGAGTCCTGCCCCTGGTCACACTTTGAGCCCTGACCCTGGTCACACACTGAGCCCTGACCTTTTTCACAGGTTGACCCCTGATCCCATTCACAGTGCTGACACTGACTGCAGAATAATTCCCACGTTTTCTCACAAATAAATGTCACTGAACCCAAGTGAATGAACTGGGATGGCCTCCCTCAGTCCCAATGAGCTCTGTTTTCCCTCACAGAACCCTCCCACCAAGCCAGAGTCTAAGGCCTGTCTGGAATCCAGATCCACTTCCAAATTTTAAGTTGTGAAAGCCTCTCCCAGCTGGGAATCTGTTTCAGCCAGGTCTCTCATTCCTGGACCATGGGCTCTATGAAGAAGTCCGGAAACTTCGTATTTCTTTTAGCAAACTACGGCCCAGTCTCAAACCCATGGTCAAGTCCAGGATCCTGCAGACCTGCTTGCAGAGCCTGTTCATGCTCCCACCCATGGAGAAGTTGAAGAGCTGCTTACCTCCGCTGGACTCGGCCCCAGATGTCATGGTGACTGCCTGTTCTTGGGACTCTCCCGGCTCTGGGCGCTGGGTTCTGGGTGCTGGGCTGGTTTGTCAAGCCCTTGCCGCGTGTGGGAGCGAGGGGAGCACAGGAGAGAACCCTGGCCGCCCGGCTTTCATCCTGGCTTTGCTACAGTCTTATCTTGACTCTGGAAAAGCCTGAGTCTTGATGTCTGTCCCTGCAGCGGGGCTCTGGTCTCCATGCTGCCCACTGATGTTTTGTGGTTCAGATGGGACCAGGGCGCAAAAGCACTCCCCAAACGTGTGCTGCTTCTGACCGCCTATCCGTCAGCTTCCACTGCCCTAACAAACACACTCCCCCACCAGTCAGGCCCAGCGTGTTGTCCCCCCAGGGGCTGGCAGGGACACACGGACACACGTCCACCCACACGCCAGCAGCCAGGCAGGTCCCGAGTGCCCGAAGTGCAGGCCAGCTTGCTCTCCATCCACAGGGAAGCAGAGTCCTGGTGAGCACTGACAGGAGGCTGGGTGACACAGTCCCCCAAGAATCATTTTTCTTTGAGGACTTTAGTTTCGGTCCCATGAAAACAAAGCAGAGCAGGCAGTGAAACTTCCAGCCCACAAGTGTTGTGTTAAGAACAGCACCGACAGGGCACACACACTCCTGCTCCCGGGAACCCCGTCATGAGAAATAGCAGACCGCCGTGGAGACAAGTCACGGCAGGGACGTGAGCTGTGCCCAGGCTCGGCTCCCAGGGAGCAGATGTGAACCCGGAGTCGGGGGTGCACTCCTGGGGGAGCTCAGAGGGTGAGGATCACAGGAGAAGTGGACCGCCGTGCAGCTAGCTGCGAGGGGGTTCCGCCGATCCTCTGGGGGAACTCTGGTGCCGAAGCAGCTGAATTAGAACACCAGCCAGCCAGGGCACCGGCCAGCCACTGGGGCGTAAGCTTGGAGGCCAAGTCCTGAGCGGCCAGCAGCTGGGAGGGGGTGCCTGGTCCCCAAGTCCAACATCTAATTGGAGCCCAGGCCAGGGCCTCAGAAGTGAGGCCACAGAACGTGACCCTGGGCAGGAGCTGGGCTTGGTTAACAGAGTCAACAACTGAAGTAGAATTGCCACAGGAAAAAAAAAAAAGGCACACATTCAAAGTATACAATTTTACACATTTTAACCTCTATTTGTGAAACTAGCCTTGCAATGAAGATGATGAGCCTATTTATCACCCCCAAAAGCTTCCTCGTGCCACTGTGGAGTCCCTCCGTCTCGCTATTGTCGTCATGATAGTTTGAATCTTCTAGAACTTTATACAAGTGCAATCATTCGGTATATGTTTATCTGCCTGGATTCTCCCCGCTCCACGTAGTGGTCCTGAGGTTCCTCTACACCGTAGCTCGTATCCGCGGCGCAGTCCGCTTTCCTGGCATACGCTCACTGGTCGACAGGCATCCTGTTGCCTCCGGTTTGCGACTATTACGAATACTGCTGCTGTGCATGCAGGTGTTTGTACAGACTCGATTTTGATTTTTGGGGTAAATGCCCAGGACTGGAATTTCTGGGTCATAAGGTAGCTGTATGTTTAACTTGCCAAACTGCCTTGCCACCGGGCTGTGCTGCTTTGTATCCCACCAGCACGGACGGGAGCCCCGGGTCCTTCCATGTCCACGTCAACACCCATGGGAGTCGGTCCTCAAGTCTGGCCATTCCAGTGGGTGTGTTGTGGTGTCTGGTGGTGGCTTGAAATTTAATTTCTCTACTGACTAAGATGTGGAGCATCTTTTCGTGTGCTTTTCACCATCTTCATATCTTCCTTGGTGAGGTGTCTGTTAAATCTTATCCCTAGTTTTTAAATTACATTATTTGTTTGGGCATTAGTTTCTAGAGTCCCTTTTATAGTTGCAATGTGAATCCTTTATCAGGTGATTTGAAAATACTTTCTTCCCATCAGTGGCTTATCTTTTTATTGTCTTAAGAGTCTTTTCTGAAAAGTGGAAGTTCTTGATCTTGAGGAAGTTCAATTTATCTATTTTTTCTTTCACGGATCGTGTTCTTGGTGTTGTATCAAGGAACTCTTTCTTTAAACCAAGGTGACAAAGATTTGTCTCCTAGGCTTCACTCTTAGGTCCATGACGTTTTGAGCTTTTACATGGTGTATGGTACGGACTGAAGCTTAGCTTCTTGCTGGTGTCCCAGGACCACCCAGGTCCCAGCTTACGGGTTGAAAAGACTGCCCCTTCTCTTCCGGATCACCTTTACGCCTCTGGAAAATCAGCTGGTCGTGTGTCTGCTTCTGTTTCTCACCTCTTTATTCTGTTCCGCGGATCTATTGATCTGTTTTTTGTTTTTTAAGATTTATTTATTTGAGAGAGAGCTAGAGAGAGCAAGCAAGCGAGAGAGCGGAAGGGAGGGCAGCAGGAGAGAGAGTCTTACGCAGAGTCCATGCTGAGCCCGACGTAGGGCTTGATTGCATGACCCTGAGATCATGCCCGGAGCCAAAACCAAGAGTCAGATGCTCAACCACCTGTGTCACCAAGTACCCTTAGCTCTATCAATCTGTTTATGCTAAAGCCACATTGTCCTGCCCTGGGGAGCTTCAGGTACATTCTGAAGTGGTGGATGTTCTCCAACTTGGTTCATCTTTTTCAAAGTTGTTTCCACTTTTCTGGGTTCTGTGCGTTTCCATGTGAATTACAGAATCAGTAGGTCGGCACACGGCGATTTTGATTGAGATTACAGTGAATCTATAGAACGATTTGGGGGAAACTGACACTTTGACATCATCTTGTCTTGTAATCGAGGAGCTCCACGTACCTCTCCGTTCACTTCGGTTGTCTTTAAGCCCCTCAAAAGCTCCCCGGTTTCCCGTGTACAATGTCTTGCACGTCTTTTGTCAGATTCTTTCCTGTGTATTTTGTATTTTTTTCTGATATTGACAGTAATATTTAAAGTTTTAATTTCCGCTTGTTCATTGCTAGTATACAGGGCTACAATTGACTTCCGTTACATTGATCTTGTACCTTCCTGAAACCCTGCTGAACCACTGATTAGCTGTTTGGAGCTTTCTATAGATTCTGTAGCATTTTCCACATGACTTCTGTGAGTAGTTTCCTTCTTTCTTTTCGGTGTGGATGCCTGCTCTGCCTCCTTAGCTTACCGCACGTGCTAGAACCTCCAGCAGCACGCTGACTTCATCTTCCCCGGTCCGACGGGGAAGGCACCCAGCTTCACCATCCGGTGTGTTGTTGCTGTGGTTTCTTGTGGGTCCTTAGAGGCTTTTCGTTAGGCTGGGAAGGTTCTCTTCTGTTTCCGGTTTGTGGGGCATGTTGATCAGGACAGATGTTGGACTTTGTCAAATGCTTTTGCTGTTTCTGTGGAGATGTTCAATTTTGACACGTTGTGTTTTCATTTTCCCTCAAAGTACTTTCTGGTTTTAGTTTTCGCGCTGGGAGGAGTTCCTAGGGGTGCTGCCTGAGGAGCCCGGGGCGGGGCAGTGTGCCCACAGCATCTGCGGCTCCCTGGACTCGGCTCCCTTCTGGGGCCTTGGGGAGAGGTCTAACCCCCAGAGGGGTTGTGACGTAAAGACCGGGCGGCCATGAGGGTGCTGTCTGTCCTCACCAGGGACACGGTGGGCACACAGGGCTGGTCGTTACAATCATCTCCCTAGGCCCTGCAGGGAGGAGTGACCAAGCCCTTGCCGGGGGCAGTTCCTGGGACCCCTGGGGAGAGATGGGTGAGCGTGTCGGCCACGGAGGCCATGGCGCTGGCAGGCCGACCCCGGTGGACTGACGCCAGGTCGCGGTCTGTCCCCTTAGGTGCTGTACAAGAAATCCATGCAGGCGCTGGACCTGCTTCTCCAGAATTTCATCTCTGAGAACAAGAGCATGGATGAGATGTGCTTCCTCCTGCAGGTGAGGGTTGGGCTGGCATGGGGTGCAGAACAGAGGGCTCCCCCTTGCCCACCTCGATCCTGGCCTTGGACTCTCTAAGGTCCACTCAGCGTCGGTCCCTCGTATTCGGGGGGGGAGGGGCAAGAGGGCCAGGCTGGCAGGTATGCCCCATGCCGCTGACCCAAGTGCTCCAGGGGCTGTCCTCTCTCACGAGGGCAGCGGTGGGTGTTTTGGAAGAGCTAAGGACCCTGCAAGGAGCAAAGTGACCCACTGACCTCAGCTTCCGGCACCCCTGAGGGCGGGGAGCAACAGACTCAGGGATGGTCTGCGGGCTCCTGGCTTCCCTCTGCTGCCCTCCGCGGCTGCTGCAGCCCCCGAGGCAGCTGAGGGCGACCCAGGGCTTTCTGGATCACACGGTCCCGGACCTGGCCTCACCCGGGGGAGCTGGGCTGGTGGCCGGACACGAAAGCCTGAACCATCTGGTGGGCGGGACTGGCTATGGTCACCTCACCGTCCCTCAGCCCCAGCGGCCACGTCCAAGCCAGGTGGGTCCAGGTGGGTGCCGAGGGTGGGTCCACGAGGCTGACTGGGCTCTCAGGCTCGCCTCTCCCCATCGCAGCACATGGAGCCCTGGCTGCAGTCAGACAAGAGCCATGAGCGCAAGCGGGTGGTGCAGACCATCTTCCCGCTCCTCAAGTACGTGGTGGACTACGTGACGCTCACTGTGAGTGGTCTCGACACCCAGCACCCACAGTGGCGGGGGACAGGCAGGCGGGCCCGAGTGAAGGGAGGAGCAAGGAGCCCCCAGGGTGCTCCCGCCTCCGCGCTGGACCCAGCCCAGCCCCTGCTCCCGACTCCCACAGTCAGTATTCACCGAGTGTCCGGGCTGCTAGGCACGGTGCTGGGGGACAAGACGAAGTCCCTGCGGCGCCCCCGGTCCTGGGGCGGAGGTTACAGTTCAGATAGGGTGGTCGGGGAGATCTTGATGGCACGGCTGCCTGGGAGCAAAGACTTGAAGGAAGATGGCGAAGGAGACCGGGTGGTAGAGGGAGGGCACTCCCGCCGAGGGAAGAGTGCCGGCCAACGCCCAGAGGCCTGGGCCGTGAGACGCTGGGCCCAGGACGGACGGACAGCTGGACGGCAGGGGCATGCACGGGGCGAGGACATCTGCATGCCAGGCCGGGCTTCAACCTGCCCGGCCTCCCCAGGAAGAGGCCACGCCCTCCCTGCTGGGCCACCAGATAGGCCTGCTGGCGCTGCTGTGGCGGGACAAGGACCCGGTGACACAGAGCCACTCCCGCCAGTGCATCTACCTGCTCCTCCAGCTCCTGATCCAGCAGAAGGGTGAGTGGGGAGCCCCCGCCCCTGACCCAGGGGATGGCAGCTCCAGGCCTCCTGATGAGGTGCCCTCCACAGGGAGCACGGAGCAATTCATGCATTTGAATAAACTGAAGAACTTTGAAGCAAAGGCCCGCAGAGAGTCAGAAATGAGGTTCTACAACGTGGTGAAGGTGGGCCTGTCAGAGCTGCGGCGGGGAGGGGCGGCAGGACCCCCCACGGCCCCAGAGCAACGCCCCCCGTCTGCTGCCCCCAGCCCCCTGCCCATTCTACAGCCGATGCAGGGGCCAGGGCATGTGGGGCCAGGCCACGGACACGGCACCCTCCCACCTGTGACCTGGAGGTGCGGTAGGGCCCCCTGGGTCAGAGTCTAGGGCTCTCACTGATGTCTGCCCCTCTTGGCACCCGCTCCCCTGTGGCTCCTCACGAGGGTGCCAAGTGCGTCTGCTGGGGCTGGCCCACGCTCACTGCCTCTGCCCTTCCTGCCCTGGGTGCGTCCTTCCCAGGCTGGTCCCTCCCCCCAAGGTGCACCAGGAGTCAAGGGTTCGGGTTCGAGTCCGAGCTCCGCCTCCAACAGCTGGGGGAAGGGGGTCGTTCAACCCTTCCACACGTCGGTTTTCCCTGCCGTTCTAAGCGAGGGTCACTGGGCCTGACCCCCAGGCTGCACAGGCCTGCTGGGACGGGAGCCGCAATCCCTCGCCGGCTGGGCGCAGACGGACGGCCCCCGGGAACCCCGCCAGGAGAGCTGGGTGCTCAGAAGCCTGCTGTCCTGGTGGGGCCCCTGGAAACAGAGCCTGGGATGGGCAGTTACAAGGACGGAGCTGGGTGGCTCAGGACAGGGGAGTGAGAGGAGCAAGATGGGGCAGGGATGAGCTGAGGGGGGCGGTGCCAGCCCGACACGCGGGAGTGTGGCAGCATGAAGTGCACCCCGCCCGAAGCAGGGGCTGGGCCCTTGTACCCGAGTCAGTCCCTGGCTGCAGGCTGCAGCTGGGGGCCCCGACCCCTGCACAGAACTGCTTGCTCCCATCACCACCCAGAGCAACTGCCCAGAGCAGACGCGGTTGGCAGGCTGTACCAGCCACCGAGCCGAGCTGGGGGGCAGGGGGTGGACACCCCAGGGCCTGTGGGGGGAAGGGGGAAAGGCGGGGTCCTTTGGGGGTCCCTGCAAGTCTGCACACCTGGCATCCATCCCACCTGAGTAAGAGCAGCACACCCGCCCCGGCCCCATCTCCGCGCCCACCCCAGGAGAGCCTACCCAGCTGCAGAGCAGGGCCGGTGGCCCTCTGGCCCCTCAACCCCACCCCTTGGCACAGGCCCTGAACAGGAGCCTGACCGTGGCCCAGCACACACAGCTCATCCTCGCCCTCCTGGGAGGGCTGTGCAGCCATAGCCGTCTGCAGTGCGACCTGGCCTCGCAGCTGCTCCTGATGATCTTCGAGGACCGCAGCATCAAGGCGGAGCAGGTGCGCCCTGGGCGCCGGGCCCTGTCTGCGGGCCCCGCGCGGGAGTCAGGGGGCAGCACGCCGGCCGCGCCTCCAGGGGGTCCGTGCGCCCGTGGGGGCACACACCTCGTCACAGAGAGCACTGAACCCCAGAGGCAGTGGGCCCTGAGTACGCCCCTAGCCCACAGCACTACACAGCCCTGCCCCTGCTACCCGAAATGGCACAGCCCAGCCGCCAGCAGGCCCCAGCCTCCTCGAGGCCCCAGAGCCCTGCCACGGCAGTCACAGCGACACCCTGCCCTGCTCATTCAGTCTTACTCAGCAGGAGAGCGCTCCCTGCCCAGCCCCCTGCCCCCTGGGCGTTTGACCGCCGTGGGTCTGGCCTGGCCCACCTAGTCCACAGCCCTCGCAGACGTTTTGTCTCTTGGGGCTGCCAGACCCATCGACCCTCCTGGTCCCAGGGACGGGGGGGAGGGGGGGTGAAGACATGGTGGCGGCAGGCAGCACTAGCCATGGGTCCGGCACGCGCGCAGATGCCTCGCTGTGGGCCGGGGAGGCCATGACGGACTCTGGCCCCGGCAGGGCACCGAGGCGGGGCCTGCGGGGGCTGCCGTGAGGCTCTGTCCTGCCTGTCCTTCCACGCGCAGGTGGCCGAGATCCTGCAGGGCCTGTTCCAGGAGCTGCCCTCTATCGTGTTCAAGGGCATCCTGCAGACCATGATGAAGGTGGTGACAGTGCTGGGGACTCAGTACGCCGAGGAGACAGTCGAGGTGATACTGTCCCTGTGTCACCCCTCTGAGAGGTGGGTCACCTGCGCCCACAACCCAGAGGCAGATACCCGTGCCTCGTCTGTGGTCGGCGCTCCCAGGCCACACACTCTCCCTGGGCAGACCCTGCTCCTGGGCAGGCAGCCGTGTGCAGGACTCTTGCCCTACTCCCCTCTCCTTCCCAGATCCTGGAACCAAGGCCGGGGGTTCCCGGAGCTGTTCCAGGCTGAGGGGTTAAGGCGGAGGCTCCGGCAGTCCCAGGAAGGGGGCTTTCAGCATGGAAGTGTCCCTCAGACTCAGAGAGCCCTTAAAGGCCAAACGGCAGGGGGCCCGGAGGTCAGCTGGGTGACCCAGGCCCACACACGGTCCGCCCCACCACCCTTCGGGGCTAGTGTTAGGTCTGCAAGTGCACCTGGGGACGTCAGCTGGGCCCAGCAGCAGGAGGCTGGAGCCCGGGACAAATGCGGGGGCCCCAGGCTGCTGAGAAGCCCCAGTCCGAGCAGCCCTGAGTGGTGTGTGTGCACTCTGAAGTCTGAGAGGTGCTGGGGACCAGGGTGCCCCTGGGAGCATCTTGGGGAACACCAGCCTGTCACAGGGCCACACTCCCTTCGACAGGGAGCAGGCCTCCCAGGGGTGCAGGTCCACGAGCCCCTCCTTCCCCAGGGAGACATGCCCAATGTGGTGCCACTTTGCCCAGTCCAGCCGTTCGTAGGCCGCCAGAGGGGTGAGCCCCGTGTCCCCAGGGAGGAAGCAAGCTGGGGAAGGTCACTCAGCAAGGGACTGCAGCATCATGGGAACGCGCACCAACGTTAGGGAAAGCTAGCTTGTGCTCTGGGCTTGGAGCAGGGGCCGCCACCTGACTGGCCATCAGGACACAGCCTCCTGGACCCCCCGAGGGAAGGGCTCCCCGTTCCCGAGGGGCCCCGGGCATCTCCACTTCCACACGGCTGACAGGTCATCCTGCAGTCCTGAGGGTCACGTCCCACCGGCCCCTCTACCCCGTGGGGCCAGCCAGCTGGCAGGAATGGGCTCCCTGCCTCCCCAGACAGGTCCTACCCCTGTGGAAGGCCCTGGCCAGCAATACCCAGCTGGCCCGCAAGGTCCTCACCCTGCTCTATGTGAAGCTGAAGCTGCGGCCCCCTAAGGAGCTCATCAGGCTCAGCCAGCAGGCTGAGCTCATCTCCTTGCTGGTGAGCAGCACCACATCCCCACTGTGTCTCCCCCCCCCCCCCGGCGCCCCCCCGGCAACAGCATTGTCATTGAGGGGCCCCGTGGGATGCTGGGGTGACCTGGCAAGCAGAGGGTCTCAGTAGAAGCAGCCAAGGACTCTTGATGCTGAGCCCCAGAGTGGACACTCCCAGCCCCAGCCAGGTGTAGGCAGCAGGGGTGGGGGTGGGGGAGGGGCGGCGGGGAGCCGCCACTGCTGCTCCCAGCCGCCCAGCTAGCTCCGCGGGGGTGTCGCCTATCCGAGCCCAGCCCTGTTGCCCGCTGCAGGCCCTGGGTACCATTTACGAGCTCCTGTACACCCGGGAGTACAAGGCCACGGTGCACTGGGCCTTCGCAGGGATCCTCGTGGGCCTGCTGACACAGCTCCATTACCTGTTTGAGCTGGATGTGGTGGAGGGCATCTCGGACTACCAGGAGGACATCCTGGAAATGAAGCCTCTCAGCCCCTGCAGGTGGGATTTCTGACTGGGCCTCAGGGCCCAGCCCCCTCAGGACCCCCAAGCCAGGCCCTCTTTCTGGGTCCTTCCACACACCTGTGGAACCCCTGGTGGGCACCAGGCCCTGGGCTAAGCGCGGGGGACCCAGAAAGGGATGAACTCCAGCTCCAGCTGGAGGCTTGCAGTCCAGGGTGGGGAGCAGGGGGCACAGCAACCAAAAGCCAGCAGGAGCCGGGATCCTGAGGCAGAGTCAGAAGATGGAAGCTCACCTGGGCCCAGACAGGAGAGAGAGGCAGAAGAGGACCTTGTGTTCCGGGTGGAGAACCTGGCCCCGAGCCCTGACTCGCCTCCTCTAAATACCCCACGTGCCCCTAGGACCTGCCTGGAGGCCCTGAAGGGTCTCTTCTGGACTACCAACTACTGGGAGGTGTTTGCCTACCTCAAGCTGTTGAGAGGCTGGGAGCTCTTTGAGCACTCGGAAACCTACACAGAGGGAGTGACCCTCTTGGCTAGGTGAGCGCAAGCCTTGGGGGACCTGGCCCCAGAGAGCATCCCTTGTGGGGCTGCTCCTGTGCCCCGTCCTGGGACCTGTGCGCTAGACTCCGCTGCCTGGGCCATGTCCCTGAGAGGGCCAGGTCTGTTGGGGGCTTGGAGGGATCTCCCAGCCAAGGATGAAGGCCTCGGGGCCCCTGTGTCTGCTTCTCGTCTGGCAGGGCCATGGCCCACTACGACTGTGAGGTCAAGGCTGTCTTGGGGCAGGCAGTCATCTCCCTGAAGAGCTCCGAGGAACGGGACAACATCGTGGCCATGCTCATCATCACAGAGGTCAGCCCCTCCTTGGCTCTGCCCTGCCCCTGCTCCTCACCACTGTCCTCTGGCCCTTAAGAAGGTCAGAGAATTGGACTTGCTTCCGTACCCTCCAGTAGAGGGGCATCCTAAATTCTGCCTTCCGCGTCAGACCTGCTTGCTGCCTGGAAGTGCCCCCTTATGCCTAACCCGACTATCTCATGCTACAGGCCAATTTGCCCTGGCGGCTGACTGTGCCAACCCCACTCAGTTTCTCAACAGCCAAGAGCTCACCCAGTACATATCTCGGAGGACCATGGACAAATTCCTGAGCCTGGGCCTGAACAACCCCAACCAGCTGGTGCGGGCCATGAGCCTGAAGGGCCTCAGCAGCATCCTGATGCACCCCAAGAAGGTGAGAGGAGGGGCTGCCCTTCCTGGCCTTCCTCGGCCAGGAAGACTTTAGGGAGGAGGAGACATTTGAGAAGAGCCTCCACCGCGGGTCCAGCTGGAAGGGGTGGACGAGGGAGGCAAGTCCCGCAAGGCAGGAGAGGCTGGGAATGTTTGGGAAACCCTGCTGTACTGCATAGGGCCGGAGGGGCCTCTGGGGGCTGGGACTCTGGCCTCCCTACCTGACAGCCAGGCCAGCTAGGTGGCCTGTTCCTGCTCCACCCGGCACATGGAGGACTCACACTTGGCTGGATGGGGACGTCCTTCCTCCACCTGCCCTTCAGGCCTTCCAGAACATGTCCACGCCCCACAGTGCAGGCCGAGGGCTGGGGCTGAGGCCCCTGCTGCGCTCGCCAGGGAGGCGGCGTGGGCAGGGAGCGGCAGCCTCCGACGCGGCCCTGCGCCGTGGAGGTGACGGCCCGGTGGAGCAGGTGCAGAAGGCGGACGGGCAGTCCCGGGGCGGGGGGGGGGGGGCGCAGGGCAGGCCGGGGAGTGGCTGAGTCTCCGCCCCACCCCGCAGGTGGCGCTGCTCCGCAATCGGCTGGCCGGGCTGCTGGACGGCTTCGCGAAGCCCGAGCCCAAGGACCTCCTGGGCCTGATGGAGATCCTGGGCGACATCCTGCATCACCTGGGCACCCAGGGCGTCGGCGCCACCAGCCTCAAGATGGCCCAGCACCTGCTGCCGCTGTTCGAGGATGTGAGGGCCGGGGCGGCTGCACAGCCAATCCGAGCAGCCGAGCTGCTTCCCACCCCCACCCCCCGGGCTTGTGGGTAAAGTCCTCTGGAGCCCCGCGGAAAACTGGCCCGCAGGACGGAAGGTTCTGGGAGGCCTCTGCGCTGCCCAAGCCACGTGCTCCTCCACATGGAGGGCTGGGGCCGAGGGTGGGTGGGGCACAGGGGTTGGGGGAGGGGGCGGCAGCGGGCCGGGGCGGGGTCCGTAGTGCAGGGGTTGGGGTGCAGCCCGCGAGCTGACGGCAGGAGGAGCAGGAGGGGCGGAGGCCGAGAGGGACCTCAGGGCCCGGGGGGCGGGCGGCGAGGGGCGCGGGAGCTGCGGTCCGCGAGGCTGGGTAAGGCGGGGGAGGCCCCAGCACGACCCCGGCCGGAAGCCCGAAGGGTCCCCGGCCGGCCGGGGTCCCCGAGCTAGAAAGTGGCAGGTCTGGCTGCAGGGCCTGCGCCCCAGCCCTCGCCCGGCGTGCCCGGGAGTGGACATGTGGCTGCCGCGGCCGAGGCCCCGCAGAGAACCCACCGAGGAGCGGAACCGGGGACAAATGGCCAATCCAGTCGGGGGGGCTGCAGCCACTGGAGGGGGTGGCTCGAGGAGCCGGGGTTGGCCAGAGAGAAGGCAGCCCTCGCTGGTGGGACAGGCCGGAGTGTCAGTGCTGGGAGGCCACCTGGTTAGCCGTCCAGCATCTGGGCCGCAGCAAGCCTGGCGGCCAGAGAGGAAGGTGAGAGAGGGGGCGTGGTGGGTGGGGGTCTGCTTGTGGCTGAGGGCTCCCCACCTCCCGCAGGAGCAGGCCCAGGTTCGGGGCAGAGCCATCTCCCTGTTCGGAGATGTCATCTACAGCGGCGGCAAGAAGTATCGGCAGGTGCTCAAGAGCTATGCCTTCCAGGCCCTGGTGCCGCTGCTCTTTCACCTGGTGGACTCCTGCCCCAAAGTGGTCACGGTGAGCGCCCCCCAGCCTTGCGCCCAAACATGCACACCGGCAAAAGGAGAGGGCCCATCCAGGGTGGTGCCTCCAATCATCTAATAACTTGGCTCGGCGCCCCCCACCCCTACCCAGGCAGCCCTGCCTGCAGCCCTGTTGCTCATGGCCACCTCCTCCCCAGCCCCTCTCAAGCCCCCAGCAAACTGCTTCCTTCTCACAAAGGGGCTTCCTCCAGTCCCATGCCTCCTTTCTGCCCATGTCCCAGACCATTAGACCCAGGAGCCAGCCCTCCGGACCCTTTGCTGGTGGCCTGACGGGGCTAGGAAGCCCTCGAGCCCGGGAGAGGGTGTGCCTCAGGTTGTGGGTCTGTACAGCCAGCCCCCACCCAGACCTGGCAACGGGCGGCTGCTGAGTGCCGTGTGGCGGAGCGAAGGGGTGAAAGGGGGGTGGAGGGAGACCAGGATAAGGCAGGGGTGTCGCCAGGTGGGAGGTGGGGGGGTACACATAGGAGTTCAGAGGAGAGTGTCAAGGTAAGCCGGAGAGGCTGCCTGGGGGAGGCTGGGCTATAAAAGCCTCGGAAACTGCAGTCTTAGGATAAGCTGCCCGGGGCCAGGGGCCTCCTAGTGAAGGAGGGCAGCACATTCTCTGAGCCAGCAGGAATGAACAGAGGAAGGGGAGGGCCGGCCCGGGCTGTGGTCAGGGCCTCGTCATAGGTGCTGGAGGAGAGCACAGTCTCCTGGGGGACAGAGGTGTGAGCCCCTGGCAGGTGGACTTAGGAGGAAGCTGAGGGCTTTGTGGAGAAGACCAGGTGGGCCACTCCCCGCTCAACTCAGCAAGGCAGGGAGAGGCCCGCTTGGGAACAGGCCTGTCTCTGCTGAGGCCACTGCTGGGTTTAGGGTGGGGTAGGGTTGGTCCCCTCTGAGGTCTCTCTCCTGGGCACGTAGACCGCGTCTTTCTCCCCGTGTCTTCACGTGGTCATCCCCTTGTGTGTGTGTCCAAATTTCTCCTCCTCATAAGGACACCAGTCAGATTCCCCCAGGGCCATCCAGGAACCCCATGTCCTTAATCACCTCCGTAGAGACCCCGCCCACAGACAGTCACATTCTGAGGTGCTGGGGGTTACCTGGACAGACACGGTTCTGCCCGTCACAGGGGCACAGAGACTTTCTAAAGGAGTTCTAGACTAGAGGCTGTGGCTATTGGGTGTTGGTGAGTGAGGGGCCAGTGTTCCTTCCCTGGGTGCCTGTCCCTCAGCCCTTGAGAGAATCCCCCAGGGTCAGGAAGGAGGCCGGGGTGGCCAGAGTGACCACTGGCTTCTCGAGTTTTCCTGTGAATTAGAGCAGAACACCCACGGGGTGTGGGGGGTGAGACCCTACTGTGGGGGTGACCCTTGCCCCCATGGATGGAGCCCCCTCCAGGGCTTGGGCAGGCTCCTGGCCTGGGCACAGCTGTGAGTGGGGTCCTCGCTGGGCCCAGGACCCCCAGTGCCTCTGGGCCAGCATGGCTGCAGAAGGCCACCCTCTTGGGGTGTGGCCAGGAGGGCACTGATGATGGGGAGGGCTGAGACCCGCCTCTCCCTGCGTGCCGCCCACAGAATACAAAGCTGACCTTCCTGCGCTGTGCCATCCTGCTCAAGTGGGAGTTTCGGAAGGAGCTGTTCGGGAAGTTGGCATGGGGCCATGGCCTGGGTGCTGAGAACGACATTTTCATCTACATGGTAAGGCGCCGGCGCCCTCCTGGACACCGGGGAGGCGGACAAGGGCCGTGCAAACTCCGGGGGCCTCTGGGAATTGGCTTAGCCCCGGCACCCTCTAAGGGGCACCCCGATGGGGACAGGCTTGGTGCTGGAAGCCCCTTGGGTGGTCCCTGACTCGGTCCCGCGGGTTTGTACCGAAGGCCGGCTCCGTGGGGGCCGCTGCAGCCCCTGGGAGGGACACAGCTCCCACGGCTGCGGTTGAGGAGAACTTCGGGGGCATGGCCCCCACTGATGCCCCCAGTGCAGACATGAGGAGGGCCCTGTAGCTCCCGGAACTCAGGACCCACCCGCCCCCAGACATCGCTGGGCCCATGTCCCCTTCTGAGGACGGCTGTGAGGAGGTGGCTGAGCAAGAAACCCTAGCTCTGATTTCTAGCAGTCAGTTTATTTCTGAGTCGGCCCCTGTCCGGCTGGGACCTGTCCTTGCTGCTCAGGGGCCGCGATCCCAGGCTTTTCTTCAGCTTGGCGGTGGGCAGGCTGCCACACCTGGCCCATGCTGGATCTGGTGGAGGTGTGAGAGTCCGGGGGCCCTGCCAAGCCTGGGGGACTGAGAAGGGGGGGAGGCCCGCAGTCTGGGGGCAAAGGTGCCCAGAGAGAGGGAGGCTGGGCTCCCCAGGTCCGGAGCGCAGTTCCTCCCGTGGGTGCCGCCTCTCTGGGGGGCCCGGCGGGGCCTGGTGGGGCCGCCGTGCTGAGTCCCCTGCCCACTGCGTGTGGGATCGTTGGTTTTGTGCTTTGATGCGTGTGAATGATGAACCGTCTGCACGCTCCAGGTGTGGGTCCTTGGCCAGTTATTTGTATTTTTGCCCAGTTTGTGACTTGTTGACTTCACTCACCGTGTCTCTGGTCGGGCAGAAGTTCTGAATTTTACATAGGCAGACGTGTGACTTTCCCGTGGTTTGTGCTTGGGTCTGGATAAGAAACCCCTTGCTGCTGCAGGACAGTGCTGGTGCCAGGAGCGGCCAGGAGCGAGACCTGCAGCGGGGTGGGGGGGCAGGTTGGTTGTGCCCCCCCATCTAGGCGGTGCCGAGCTCCCGCCCCGGGGACGTGGGGTGCTGGTGACCCGCTGCGCGCAGAGGCTCCACGTGGCACCGAGCAGTCACCTGAAGCGCAGGTTGTGGGCACCTGCAGCCTGCTGCACCTTGACGCTTGCGGCTGTGAGGGGGACTCAGCGTCTGTCCGTCCGGATCCGTCCAGGGGTATGCTGGCGTCAAGTGGGAGGCGGGCAAGCTCCAAGGATCGTGGGACCGCTGGGACAGCCGGAGCAGAAGAGAGCCGCGGCCCGGGGCTGAGAGGAGTGCCCAGGACGCCCCCGGCCCCTGAGCTGAGGGCCGGGCCCCGCGAGACCATGGCCACCACCCCTCGGGGCACAGCGGCCTGCGTGGCACACGACTCATTGCGGACAAGCCCCCTGGGATGTCTGGGATGGTGCACGCGCGGAGCGGGCACGGGAGACCCCGGGCAGGGTGAGCCTGGGGGACCGGCGCGGGAGCCCGCTCCGTCTCTCCACCACCGTCCAGCGAGTCACCCGGCGCCCCCTGCCCCCGCCCCGGCGTGGACGACACTTGGGGACCCGGTTCCGTGCTTAGAGAGCACGCGACGAGGGCAGGCTTGGGGCCGCGAGGAGGCGAGCTGCCCTGGGCACTGGGGCCTCCCGCGTCGGGTGCGTTTGGCCTTCTCAGGCTGCCACCCCTGGGAGAGGCTGCCTTGCCTTCCGTCCACCTCCGCTCTCCACACCCGCCTCTGACCTGCCCTCGGCACCCCTACTGGCGCTCGTCCTCCTGCGGACGGCTCCCTTCTCATGAGCTCCCGTTGTCCCCAGAGGTAACTGTCACCCCCGGGGGCTCGCTTGCCTGGAATTCCAGCATCGAGTCTTGCTCCGGGTGTTTTCCGACTATGGCCCACGGTGGGTTTTCAGCTCGTGTATCCTGTCGTTTCGGATTGTGGTCTTTCTCTTTGTGCGCCCCATTCCAGAGTCCTTGGTGCTGTCCCGCCAGTAGGACCTGGGACGGATTTGACCTGGCAGCTCTGAGCTGTCCTAGGCGCTCAGGTGGCTCTGCGCCGGATCGCCACTCCTCAGGGACGGGGCTCCTGCTCCTCACTCAGGCCACGAGAGAGACAGACTCCCTTCCGGTTTCCCTCTGCCTTCCTGGGTCCAGACTGCAGCAGTGCGTGTGTGATGCCAGGTCTGCTGGCTGCTCCCCCCTCCCACGGACGCGGCGCCTGCCGGGGACTTCTGGCTCTGGTTCCACCCCGCCCGCGTCCGTCCTGGGGACCTCTGTCTCGTGAGCTGCTGCAGAGAGGTAGAGAGCGTGTGCAATGTTAATACCTACTTTCCAAATCTTATCGATTCGTTAAATGGTCCGTCTGTTAGGACAGTGAACCGTCCACGTTACTAGGTCACGGTCACGGATTTCACAAAGTCTGTTTCTCTGTGACTGTATTTGCGTGTCGGCTACAGACTTCTTGAGACGAGTGCGAGCCTTCAGCACCGGCATCCGTGTGACCGTGGGGGTCCCGGGGGCGGCTCAGGTGCTGGGGGAAAGT